GGGGATGTGGCATTAGTTTTTAAGTTATTTACAAATGTGTTATTTTTCTCAACCCCAATAAAAGATCACAAGCTGTGGCTACTTTACAAGTAGCAACCCAAAAACAGTACATCGTGTTCTGTATGTACATAACCTGTAATTCTTTCACAGACTAGGGAACGGAAACACGAAACAACGACAATGGTGACACACTGTCAGATCATACGCCAAAACGTGGGAGGAAACAAGAGAGACAACTTAGTTCACATGCAGACACAACGACGACAACGTCTGTGCTCCAACACAGCAGAAAAACAAGGAACGGGCCATTCCATAAAAAGTGAAACATGTACCCGGGGAAATGACGTTTACTTTCAAGTAACAGCACAAGTTTTACGGTAGCTCCTAACACAAACAGGTCATATAAGAGTCAAAGATTAGAGGTGATACTAGAGAGTAACACACAAAGAAAAGGAATAGAAATAAGAAAGATAGAGGTTTGATAGGAAAGAAGGAGCAAACCACACCAGAGCATGTGTGTCACTTTTCATGGAATGGTCTAAACAAACAAAAATTGCCCAAAATGAAACGGAATAACGGAATACATTTGAGGCAGATACACATACATACGTACATACACACATTCATTACATACAAGGCATAACAATTTGTGCGTGAAGGATTTCACTTTGGTGCCGACAGACAGATACAGAAACTGATCACAGTACTATAAATAGAACGGACCCAAAACTGGAGTACAGAGTAGGAAGAAATAATAATAGTAATTTAATTATAGTAAGTGTATGGCAGGACCTCCGTATTTAACGTTCCGTCCCCAATAGGACCGAGCCAAATGGGTTGAGAGACTGGAAACTCCACCAAATGACCTGGGTTAAAAAATACCCTAGTCAAGGAATTGAACCAGCGCCATCCACTCCCCCCACAGTAGGGAGAGTCACTAAGTAGGAGCAGCTGCTGTACGATGTAGCATTAGCGTCGAAGATTAGAGTTGTCACTAGAGAGTTACATACACAAAAAAAACGAAGAAAGATAAGGACGATAGATGTTCGATCGGAAAGAAGGAGCAAACCACATTAGAGCGCCCACCAACCACCTACCAAAAGACTTAGATTCTAGGTAAGCAAAGACGAGGATATAATACACCATACCATGTAGCACCGTATGAAAAAAAGCAGGAAGCAGATTGTACGCATCATTATCAGCTCTCTAGAGAAATCATCACCAACATACATGGCACAGAACAAAAAGAAAGGGGGGGGGGGGGGGGAAAAGGACAAAAAGTGGCACCCTCAGGCCACCCACCTTTCAACTAATATGAGAGGCGGCTTTTTATATTACGGACTGAAACATGAGTATTAGTAGTAGTAGTAGTAGTAGTAGTAGTGGGGGCGGTTGTTGTTGAGAAGCAGGCAGCAGCAGAAGGAGCAGCAGCAGCAGTAGAAGTGATGAATAATCATAATGTGCACGCAACAGTCACCACTTGACAAGACTGGTGGGGAAAGAACGAACATTCATCTACACACAGGGGCAAAAACAATACAAGAAAAAAACAATAGAGTACGCAAGACAAAACGGGCATACAGACAATTGGCAACAGCAAACATCACGTATCACCGGTGAAACCGGCCGTACACACAGCACTTGCAACACAATAAAGTCATAGAAGTGCCCAAGACTAAAGGTGTTCCAAGAAAAAAACATACAAGGAAAAGGAGGAGAAGCGATAACGAAGATAGACGTTTGATAGGAAAGAAGAAGCAAACCATACCAGAGCACCCCCCAACCACACACTTCTCATATGTTGACCTTTTTATACATGGGCCTAAAAATAGACATGGACGAATACTGATGCAGTGCTCTACTTTTCTCATCGGTTGACATATTTACCAATAAACATGGGCCTAAAAATATACTACACATAAGTGCTTTTTACATAGCAACTTTGTACACAGTGTGGGGGGCGGGGGGGTGGTGAGTGTTCCCAATGACAAGGCAAGATGCAAACATCGGGACCTTCACACAACAACGACCACCACAGACAACAGCGACACTCACACAACCAAGACCACCACAGACAACACCGACACTCACACAACCACGACCACCACAGACAACAGCGACACTCACACAACCAAGACCACCACAGACAACAGCGACACTCACACAACCACGACCACCACAGACAACACCGACACTCACACAATCTACACACCAACATCTATCACATTACACCCCACTGCCACATGAGGACAGAAATGACAAGGCAACACTTCCAGCATTAACTGTTTTTGTCCAAGATTACACTCCTGCCTTAACCCTTTCACAGCCAAGCTTGCATTATAACGTTATCAGTTATCAATGCTCTTGTACAGTCCCGGGCGAAGCAGCAAACAGGTTAAATGAACAGCTAGAATGCTGTAAACCTCCTCAAACTTGCCTCAAGTAGGGCTGCACAGTGTCTCACTTGCTAGTGAACAGCTTTGAATACTTTTTTTTAAAAAGTAAATTTCATTTTCAAATAAAACAAGATAAGATAATGTATTTTGGTCTTGAACAGGTTTTCATTAGAGTGTAGGTTCAACTGTAACTTTTGATCATTTCTCTTCCATCTACATCCAACTCTAAAGTCACAACGGAGTGAAGTTCAAGAAAACCAATGAAATATTTCCGACAACTTAAAGAGAACATACCCATCAAACTTCACATCATCCAGAGTGACGTTAAATGAGAGGTTGAACAAGTCCACATTTTTTTCTCTGGTGTCGGTAATGAGAAACGCGTTCAACACGACAACAACACACTCACCAACAAAACCAACACCCAGGCTGAGAATACAAATATGACAACAAATAAACTAGAGAACCACACCACAGAATATATCACTTTTACACCAACTAACAAAAAAATAGGTAAAAAAAATAATTTTAAAAAAAATTCTTTTTTATATGTAAAAAGAACCAAAAAAGGGGGAGTTGGGGTTTATTATATAAACCTAAGTCAATAGCAACACAAATGAGACCTTCAATAACTTAGTATATATAGCTGGTAGATACACCTACAAAGGACCAGACACAACACAGAGCCAGACACTATGTGGGAGAGCCGAGAAAGTAAGGGGGGGGGGGATATATAGATGATGATATGATGTCCACCTCGGGACACTAACACAGTGCGCAGCCCCAACCAGAGATCAGTCATCCATAGCTGCCAACTTTTCAAAACATCCCCCCCCAAATTTTTTTTTTTAAAACCCAGATCCTACCCACCCAATAAGTCGAGATGATGGGCATTGATCAAACACCCCCCCCCCTCTCCAAATTCTACACCCATACTTTTCTGCACTCAATAAATTCCATATATTCAAAGTGGAAAAGCAACAAAACATCTCCCCGTCAGACTTTTGGACTTCCTTCTTGTTATTATTCACAAAGCTGATCTTGAAAATTCCTTTATTTTTTTTTTTTCAGCGTTGGCAAGTTTGTGAGGGGGCAGTACCAGAGATGAGAAAATACGTATTTTCCTGAACAGAAATGCATTTCCATACCCTCACAAACATATTAAATATGTATTCTACAAGACAGGTTGGCAGCTATGGAGATCTATAAATAAACACGTGACAACATCGACACTAGGAGACACTGGCTCGAGAAAGGGAAGGGCCTACCCCTGAGACTCAGTGACATCGTTACACTTCCTGTTGAGGTAACCAAGAGAAGCACGTCAGAGAACGGGACACGGCCAGTCACAACATCGGGACATGTCGCGTCGGTACCTACGTCATTGTCTGAACATCATGACGTCACTGTCACACCAATCAATGTCGCTGTCACCCCAGTCCGAGCGACATCATGACGTCACTCACTGTCGCGACAGCATCATATCCCCAACTCTACAGTAAATCATTTCTGAACAAAGTCATCTCACTCAGTCCCCTACAGTTATAAAACCAATAACATTTTACAGTCAAAACTGAACTCGTCTTCTGAGCTGGAGAAAAACATGCTAGGAACGACTAGAAGCAAAAAGTGGAATAAGAAAAAAAATCTTACTTGGAATTCAAGATATCATGATTCCAGCGCAAAGCATATTTCGTGTTTATACCATAGTAACTTGCCCATAAGACAAGAGTGAGGCAAGAACTAATCAATTGACCTTGACCATGACCATTAGCCAATCAACACCTGTCACCATCTGGCAGACCAAAGTCTCACCAACCACGGTGTGTGCAGTTCTCACATTACGTGAACGACAAGAATATGATAAAAGTTTCAAATGAGCAAAAAGTTTTTCACTGCGAAAAGTGAAGACTACATGAATAACAGCGGAGCAAACATGAAAGTGAAGCCTTTCCACATCGCAAGGCCTGTCAACTTTTTCTGCATTAAGGGATGCACACATGCACAACACACACACGCTTTCACACACGCACACACACAAAGGGAAAGCGCGCGCGCACACACTTACACTCACACACAATGGGTTATATTATGTTAGTGATGCAAAGCTGAAAAAAAAACGTGTGAAAAAATACTATGCACACATATCGCTCACTACCTTAGAATTACAAAGTTCTATCTGACATTTTTGGCCGGGTTGAGTTTCTAAGACCATGAGGTTCTTAAAGAAACCAAACCGTCTATCTGCTCTATCAAAATCGTAGGATTATTCTGAATCGTTATCAAAGTATTCAAAGAATTGTACTCGAAAAAACTTGACATGTTGAGAAATCAATTTTTTATGTCAAATTTCTCCAAACTAGGTACGGTACTGAGCAGATAGAACGCTGTAATTCTCAGGTAGCCATTTGTTGAGTCATAACGAGTTAGCATATCTAAGCTACAGGAAAATTCACTCAATTTTTTTTCCTTTCGGATGTCTGAAGTGAGGGAAAAAACAAACTTGGTGAAGAGTCTGTACCATGCATTAGAAGCCGCAGGGCCTGGACAGGGTCAAAGTTCACAGTCGTTGCTGGCAGAATATTATATGTGTCATCACACGGTGGAATAAAGCACTCATCCGTTTTTGGGCATTTGGAATGATTGATTTGATGATAAACCTTGTTCATATGTCTTCCTTTTGATAAAGAGAATACACAACTATCTTGAATAGAAGTTGAGATATCATTGAAGAAGATTGGGGGGGGGGGGTCGTCTGCTGGTAGAAGAGATCAAATTTAAAAGAAAATGGCTGCCCAAGTTTGGCAACTTCCACGGTTTGGGCGTCCTCGGAAACTGAAAATTTATAAATGTTGAGCCGTTGATCAATGTTCCCTGGTAAAATCCACGCAGAACAGCTGCATATTTTAATGGACA